TCCACAACAAGCATGGCGTAAGAGTCGACTAATGAGGGTTTCCTTTCAAGTTGGAGTGCATCTGCCTTATAGGAAAGTAGCCAACAGTCTACATTCGAGAAAGTAAGATCTGAAAACCGAACGTGCATCAAACACGGACTTTCTGGAAAAAGATTAATGTGCAGAGGTGGACGAACACCCACAAACTTTCCGCCGAAGTTTACAGCCAGTGAACGTGAAAGAAAAACACGAAACGGAAACGCCTTGTACTCTTAAATAAAATTTTAGGTTTAGCAGCTCCAGGGTGCACCGGGGATTCATCAACCTAACAGGGCTACGGAGTCTCACCTTTCACCTTGAACGTCGTCGCCACAGACACCTGGCATGACACCGGTGTAACCACACCTGGCCAGATCCAAAACAGTCATTATAGTCGCATTGTCGGCCAGATAATCTGCACGCCCATTGCCTTGAACACCGGCATTCTTAGCACAAACATATCTGTTAGACCAGCCCCTCGCGAGGCGCTTAATGAGACGAACCATTCTTGTCTTGTGAAGCCGGCTAGAAATGAGAACAAATTTGTCAGTGCGTCTGTCTGTCTGTTCCAATTCAGAAAGTGTATTTGAAAGAAAGCTACACATGGAAATGGGGAGAAGAGAGGACGTGAGATAAACTGTTAATAACTTGTTTAAAATGTGTAATGATCGTGGCGTGGATAGAAGAAGGGGGAACACGGGCGCAGTGTGGTGTAGGAAAAACTATTACTGTTTGCTACTTTTAATAGGTATATATATATATATATAATATAGATATATAATCGATCTATATATATATTATATATATATAAAAAGTATATATATCTATATATATAAACTATTTATATCCGCCATATCTATCTATATATATATATCTATAACTATATATGAAAATATAATAATATATATATCTATATAGATGCCATTAAGTGTGTGTGTGTGTGTGTGAATGTGTGTGTGTTTTGTTGTGTGTTTGTGAGTGGCGAATGTGGGGTTGGTGGGTGGTTTTACATGAAATTTGTCCCTGGAACCTCCTGACCTTGCTACGTTACAGCATGTTTGGGGCAGGCCAAGAACACTGATCTGATCCATGATACTGGTGATCGAGCACGATAGCAAATCATCACAATTCAAAACAGGAAATAATGTGCATGACGTCCTCCAGGTATCTAGGGGTGCTAAGTGGACATTACTTAATGAATAAAGGGGTGCGGTGGCCGATGATATAGCGTAGAACAATCAAGGGTTGTTTCAAAACAAAGTACCTTACTCCAAATCGTCATTGTTATCACAGGTAGAGATAATGAAAGACCTACTCTATGTAAGTAACCCGCCACGCCCCCATGACGAGGTGGCAAACTTTCCCTCCCCCCACGACGCTTTACTGCCCCCCCCCCCCAAAAAAAAAAAATAATTATAATAATTTTAACAAAAAACACACACATTGACATTGATGACAACAGTAAATTAAAGGGAACATTTCCCAGACCTTGAGATTTATTGGGCATATAGAACTAGGACTTCAATTGATTTCGACGAATCGGCACTTGGCGGGTGATGTGGTCAGCCTAACGCCGGCCGCCTTTACTTCCCAGGACGATGGTGAACATAATGATCAAAATGAGTAATGATCTCTGCTGTTGTTTTCCTGAAAAAAAAAAAAAAAAAAAAAAAAAAAAACCGGTGCTGGTACTTATCACAAAGTCTATTAAAAGGTGCCGGTATTCTCAAAATTATTTTAGTTACATGACACAGTAAACTCATTGTTCGATGTTTTCCACATTCCACTGCGCCAGCTGTTTTTGGTAAAGGTATGAAAAGAGATTTCAAAATTACAACAGGTATGTGTCCACTTTTATAAATATCATCGACAAATTGTTTCCAAACTTCTAAGCCCAGTTCACTAGCAGATTTAATTCTTCAACCGTTTTACAGACGAACGTTGATGATACCCTGAGGACAGAAAAAAAAAAAAAAAAAAAACGAGTAGTGAAATCGCCTTGAAAGAAACTGACTCACAAAGAGAACTGATTGTCCACATCAGAAAGAGACAATCTACATTCTTTGGTCATGTGATGAGAAGAGAACTGAAGTAGATCGTGACGGTAGGAAAGTTGGAGAGGAGGAGAGTCAAAGAGAACATCATCCGTGTCAGAGTGGATTGAAAGTATACAAGACAGAAGGTGGTGGATAGACATGACTACCAACGTCACACGGCATGGAGTATGGGAGATCGTCGGTATCAGAGTTGATGAAAGTACAGGAGACAGAAGGTTGTGGATATACATGACTACCAACGTCACACGGCATGGAGTATGGGAGATCGTCTGTATCAAAGTTGACTGAAAGTACAGGAGACAGAAGGTTGTGGATAGACATGACTACCAACGTCACACGGCATGGAGTATGGGAGATCGTCTGTATCAGAGTTGACTGAAAGTACAGGAGACAGAAGGTTGTGGATAGACATGACTACCAACGCCTCACTGCAGGGACTTTAAGAAGACCAGTATTAGCCATAAAGTGCCTATTAAAATGCATTAAAAACAAACGATGTCGCAAACGAAAACCCTGCTCATGACAAGATTGTAAAAGAAACGAAAAAAGATGCTGAATTGTTTGTGTTATGAGAAGAACACAACTGTTGTATTTTATTGTAAATATAAGAGTGTGTGAGAGAGTCACTGTGGTGTAGCGGAAAGCTGTGGATGAGAAGGCCGTGGGTTCGTGTCCAAACCGAACCGAATGTTTTAAATAAGCTTGGCTCCCAGGACGGCTCAGCTTTTAGTAGATACCGGGTGCTGTCCTGGGAAGTAAAGGCGGCCAGTGTTATGTTAATCTCATCATCCACGAACTGCTGGTCGGTCTATAGATAGATAGGCCTCGCCCTATATAGCCAGTACGCCTACAGTCGTGGAAAAGAGTTCTTTACTTTACTCAACTATTCTATGGATGCACGTGGATTGCTGAACTGGTCAACATTCAACATGCTGAATGGATTGATATAGAAACTGGATGGATTGATGGATGCGCGGAGAAATGGATATACAAGTCGATTTTATAGACGAAGGGGATATGTTCATGGGCTGATGCATAGGTATCAGGATAGGTGGACAGATAGATAGATAGATAGATAGATAGATAGATAGATAGATAGATAGATAGATAGATAGATAGATAGATAGATAGATAGATAGATAGATAGATGATAGATAGATAGATAGATAGATAGAGATAGATAGATAGATAGATAGATAGATAGATAGATAGATAGATAGATAGATAGATAGATAGATAGATAGATAGATAGATAGATAGATAGATAGATAGATAGATAGATAGATAGATAGATTTAGATAGATAGATAGATAGATAGATAGATAGATAGATAGATAGATAGATAGATAGATAGATAGATAGATAGATAGATAGATAGATAGATAGATAGATAGATAGATAGATAGATAGATAGATAGATAGATAGATAGATAGATAGATAGATAGATAGATAGATAGATAGATAGATAGATAGATAGATAGATAGATAGATAGATAGATAGATAGATAGATAGATAATAGATAGATATAGATAGATAGATAGATAGATAGATAGATAGATAGATAGATAGATAGATAGATAGATAGATAGATAATCGTCGATAGATCGATCGATAGATCGATAGATAGATAGATAGATAATAGATAGATAGATAGATAGATAGATAGATAGATAGATAGATAGATAGATATCGATAGATAGATAGATAGAATGATAGATAGATAGATAGATAGATAGATAGAATAGATAGATAGATAGATAGATAGATAGATAGATAGATAGATAGATAGAGATAGATAGATAGATAGATAGATAGATAGATAGATAGATAGATAGATAGATAGATAGATAGATAGATAGATAGATAGATAGATAGATAGATAGATGATAGATAGATAGATAGATAGATAGATTAGATAGATAGATAGATAGATAGATAGATAGATAGATATAGATAGATATAGATAGATAGATAGATAGATAGATAGATAGATAGATATGAGATAGATAGATAGATAGATAGATGATAGATAGATAGATAGATAGATAGATAGATATAGATATCGATAGATAGTCGATCGATCGATCGATCGATCGATCGATCGATCGATATCGATCGATCGCTCGATATCGATATAGATCGATCGATATAGATAGATAGATAGATAGATAGATAGATAGATAGATCGATAGATAGATAGATAGATAGATAGATAGATAGATAGATAGATAGATAGATAGATAGATAGATAGATAGATAGATAGATAGATAGATAGATAGATAGATAGATAGATAGATAGATAGATAGATAGATAGATAGATAGATAGATAGATAGATAGATGAGTAGGGAGATGGATATACGGTCTGATTGGATGGATGGATGGCTTGAAATACGATGGGTGGAATGAGGGTGGATGGATAGATATAATAAGAATTAATGGGTAGATGGATCAAAAATGTATATACACGTCGACTGGGTTGGTGGATGGATGGATGGATGGGTCGATTGATCGATCCATGTAGAGGTGAATGGATTAATGGATGGAGGGGCAGGCCATTTTTGTGATAAAGTGGTGTATGATTTTTTTTTAAATGTATTAGGGAACGAAAATATAACAGATATAATCCCGGTATTTATGATCTTGACAACTTTCTCAGGTCCAGGGCTAGAAAGATTTGTTGTCAAGCCTGTTTCTATCTGTTTCATCAAGAGAGAAGAAAACCGTGTCTGAACTCTGACCTCCCCTGCCCAGAGATCTCGCCACAGGCGAACTACTCGCTAGATTTCGTGTTGCCCTCTCTCTCCGTGTAATCCAAGACCCCGCTAACTCCGCCCTTTTCACACTGTATTTTTCGCCGATAACGCCAATCAAATGTAAAGTAGGCGGAGCTAGATGGTTATGTTAGCAAACCAAGCAATCGATGACGGTGACGCCGTCAGCTGACGCGCAGAGCTGTACTACACTTTTCACAAGTAGCCTGTCCGCGGGTTTGTTGTGTGGTCCTCTCGCGTGCAGAAGGCGGGGATTATCTCGTTGACAACAACCTAAAGTGGCTGTCTGACACGGACTCCCCGCCTCCAAGTACGAGGTGTCAGATAATGCAATATTAATGAGACGCGTGATAAGAAAGATGAAAACACGACCTGGTAGTCAACTCCTTACTTGTTTGCCTGGCGGATTTTCACACGTGTTTCCAACTTCTGTGATGTTTGTGAAGGGTTCGGATCTTGTCAGAGAAGATCGCCAGGAATAGTAACGTAAAATATAGATATCTGAAGTGCAGTTTCCACAAAGACAGGGAGCGCGTTGTTGTATCAAGTCTGCGTAGATGACATTCTCACGGGTGAACTGTTACACGCCTGGCATACTCTAGTAAATAGATTTCATCTCCCTAAGCTAGGGTATTCGGCCACTTCTACCCGCACGTCTAGATACGGTGAGACTGTTTCATTGAAAGAACTGTGTCCAGCTTATTTTCTTTCTTACACAGAACTCTGTGCACACGAAAAGGACAGAAACGAAACCGCGAACAACCAAATAGACAGAAGGAGATATAAACATCCCGTTAAAGTTCAGAGATCCACTGGAATCCATCGTGATCCTCTTTGAGCCAGAACTAGCTTCTGTTTCAGAGCTAGAACATAGACAATTACTTATCCTACCCGCGGAAACCCAAAAAATAAGGGATAGATAAACTGGGACTGATATGGATTTATTGATAACTTAACTGGCTTGTGTTAAAAGTGCTAGGTTAGCGCGCGTTTTTTACCCGGAATCCGTCTTGTCCTCATCATGCATCAGAGACTCGTCAAACTGGCTGCGACAGATGTTAGGATAATTCAAGTTTAGAAGAGGCAAGTACAGAGATAAAATACAATAAGGAAATTTGCATGTACTGGGTGGAAATTGAAAGGAAAGTGCTCGGAAATTTGAACAATTTAACGGTTATAATAAAAGTTTGCATTAACTGTGCCAAAACAAAGATTATGTTAACTATGCCAGACAAGAGTACTTAACTGTGGCAAGAAGACCTGCAGCGTTGCCCTGTGCAAGATAAGATTATGTCCACATAAAAAGCGGCAATAAACAACAGATAGGCTGTACTTAACTATCAGTACAATAGAAGTGTCATCTGTACCGACAGTTGTACTCAAAAAGTTCACTTGAACAGGATCACATTTCGTAAACTTCATTACGTCATTAGTTTACGACCTAGCCATTTGCGTTTTGGTGAAATCGTCGTTTCATTCGGCAGCAACAGAAAAAACAATATCTTCTGGCTCTGAATTTTATATCTCGCTTCACTGAACTCACGATTGCCAGATAAGTGGTGCTTCATGCTCCACACGGACCAACTCTTGGCTACGGCGTTTCCGGTGGTTTTTATTTAGATATCATGGGAGGGCATTCGTGAGTAATCATCGTGCAATTGTAGCTTGACTTCTTCGCATTGACCGGGTTGTAAACTTCTTACTACCTTTGAACATTGGTCTTGTTAAAAAACCTAAGCTTTGGAGCTCTTCCGTTTTACAGATCTGGCTGTCTTATATGCAGAATTTTGGGCTCTCCCCTCTCATGCAGATCCACTCCGAATTCAAAGAAAACCCCACTAGTTAGGTGACTTTTACGACATGCTTGTTGGGGGGGGGGGCAGTGAATGGGTCTCACCCCACTCCTCCACGATGAGGCTCGGAACCCGCAGGGGGAATTCTCGAGTTCAATGTACAATGGAAGACTCATGCATGTGACTCCAGCCGGGGACAACTCATCTGTCAGACCGGACACAGCTGGTGGCTGCCGGTTATGTTTGTTGACCTGCCGGTTATGTTTGTTGACCTGCCGGTTATGTTTGTTGACCTGTCGGTTATGTTTGTTGGCTGACTCCCATTTGTCAAATTGTTGCTGGGACGCTATTTAAAAAAAAAAAGGAAAGACATAATACAAAATCACGAAATCAGACGAATGCTAGGAATAAAGCGAGTCTTATAGGTCATCACAGAACGACAAATGAAGTAGTTTGGACACCTAACAAGAATGCCCTGGTACTATCTGCCACAGCGAGCCACACTGAAACGTTACAACGGGTATAGAGTGAGAGGAAGACCTCGTAAAACGTTGAGTGATGGCATTAGGTACAGCCTTACAGAAATAAACGTCAATCTCAATAGTGCTCTTGACAGAGCTCATCAACAAATGTTACATCTGTCCCGCACCCCCCCCCCCCCCCCCCCCCCCTCTCTTCCGCTTTTCCCGAAACTTCACAGAGGTAGAAGGTGAAAGAGAAGAAGAAGAAGAAGAAGAAGAAGAAGAAGAAGAAGAAGAAGAAGAAGAAGAAGAAGAAGAAGAAGAAGAAGAAGAAGAAGAAGAAGAAGAAGAAGAAGAAGAAGAAGAAGAAGAAGAAGAAAAAGAAGAAGAAGCAGCAGAAGAAGAAGAAGAAGAAAAAGAAGAAGAAGAAGAAGAAGCATGAATGTCTGTCTGTCTGTCTGTCTGTCTGTCTGTCTGTCTGTCTGTCTGTCTGTCTGTCTGTCTGTCTGTCTGTCTGTCTGTCTGTCTGTCTGTCTGTCTGTCTGTCTGTCTGTCTGTCTGTCTGTCTGTCTGTCTGTCTGTCTGTCTGTCTGTATCAAATATATACATACATACATGTATGTTTATATTTATATATGTATATGTGTGTATGTTTATGTAGAGAGAGAGAGAAAGAGAGAGAGAGTGAGAGAGAGAAAGTGAGAGAGAGTGAGAGATAGAAAGTGAGAGAGAGTGAGAGACAGAAAGTATGAGAGAGTGAGAGAGAGAGAAAGTGAGAGAGAGTGAGAGAGAGAAAGTTTCAGAGAGTGAGAGAGAGAAAGTATAAGAGAGTAAGAGAGAGAGAGAGAGAGAGAGAGAGAGAGAGAGAGAGAGAGAGAGAGAGAGAGAGAGAGAAACGAACGAATAGGCTCACGACCTCACTGGCAGATTCGCTTTCACTCCGAAGGAAACCCCTTTAATTAGTCGAATTCTACGACATGTATGTAAGTTGAAAATGAGTTTGTATCAAAATTTAAAAGTTTGAGAAAAAAAAAAAAAAACACCGTAGTTTTCCCAACTGCATGGGCGTCACTTGGGATGATCATAATATGTTTCAGCTAAACACGGGACATACCACTTATTTTGGAAGCCAAAAACGGGAAATCCACTAATACCTTGAACTAAAAACGGAATAATACAACGATATTTATTGCTAAAAACGGGACATCCCACTGATTCTTCTTTTTCTGCCTTTCTAGCCGCCAGTGGAGCATAGGCCCTCAACCAACTCACACCGAGTGTTTTCTATACTTCGCCATCGCATGCAGCTTTTGCCCAAGTGTCTTTCCCATCTTGTTATCTTTACTCTCCAGCTCCCTTCTCCGTGAGGTTTTTGTGTGTGTGTGGCGGGGGAGGGGGAGATTCCTTTATTCCTATGCCCGCGTGGGTTCCAGTGCATAGACATTCTAGTTATATTGTTCTCAGGTTTTCTTAACGTGTGTTTTATCCAATGTCAGCGTCTTTTCCTCACCTCTTGGTCCCCTGGAGCTTGCTTAGGTTTCTCCCAAAGCTCTACATTAGGGATTCTATCATACCATTTATGTCTCTCTATTCTGTACAGGCACCAGTTAAGGAACCTTTTTAATTTATTAGCAATTGCTTTTGTTGTTCTCAATGTTTTCGATCCATACAACAGTTCTGAATTGACATTAGAATTACAAATTTTAAGGTTTAGTATTTCTTTTAATTTCTTTTGACCACAAATTCTCGACTTCTATGAAAGCTCTGCTTTCCCTTTGTATTTGTACTTTCATACCTCTGCTAGATCCGCCATCGTCATCTACATTGCTGCCCAACTAGGAAACGACTCCATGTCTACGAGTGCCATCTATACTATTTAGAGAAACAACATTAATTTTTGTCTGATTTTTTTTCTTTCTCATTTTCTATAATATTTAATATTTACAGCTAAAAACGGAAAATCCGATAAAATCTTGAGCTAAAAACTGGACACCCCATTATTATCTTGAGCTTAAAGGGACATGTCACTAATATTTTGCCCTAAAAACGGGATATCCCAAGTAATTCAGTTTACTCAACCCCCCCCCCCCCACACCCACCCCCCCCCCCCCCCCCCCCCACCCCGAACCACCACCACACAATAAAATTATTCTTGAATCTTTTTCTTCTCCTTCTTAGAGTCCCTGCCGTGTGGCGTTGATAGTCATGTCTATCCATAACCTTCTGTCTAGTGTTCTTTCAGTCAACTCTGACACGGATGATCTTCCATAGTCCCTGTCGTGTGGCATTGGTAGTCATGTTTATCCACAACCTTCTGTCTCGTGTACTTTCAGTCATCTCTGACACCGATGATCTTCCATGCCTTGATCTCAAACTGTCCATTATCTATTCTCTCGGTCTCCCTCTGCCTCTCCTCCCCTCCAACTTTTCTACTGTCACAGGGTATGTCAGTTTTCTCTTTCTCGTCACATGACCAAAGAATGTAGATTGTCTCTTTCTGATGTGGGCAGTTTCTTTCAAGACTTCTTTATTACTCTTTTTTTTTTTTTTTTTGTCCAAAGTATTCTCATAATTCGTCTATAAAACCACATCGCCGCAGTTTCCAAATAAGTTTTCACTAATTCACCAAGTCTCCATGATTCACTTCCGTATATCAATATCAGATTTATACAGCTTTTCAGAATTATCTTTCTCGTCTTAATTGACAAAGAAAGATTGCATAAAATATTCTTCATGTTTTGGTATCAAACTCCCAAACACTGTCGGGTTTTCTATTTTTCTCCGCTCTCTACCCGTTCTTCTCTTTCTTACTCTACTTTTGTTGCCGTATTCTGCACTTTAGTGTCTGCTTTTAAAGAGGTTCTCGTAACAAAACATAACATAACATAACATAACATAACATAACATAACATAACCCTTGACCCATTAGGGTCCTGGAGGTGTAGAAGATACAACATTCGCCATCTTTCTCTGTCTTCCGCTTGATAAATAAGTGTATGATAACTTAGTCCTGTCCATTTCTTGATGTTGTCATTCCAGATTCTTCTTTGCCCTCCTCTTCTTCACCCCCCCCCCCTCTTCCCGTATTCCTGGATGAACATAGTCTTTGCAATCGAATCATGTCTCACCACATGCCCAAACCAAGCTAGCTTGCCACGTTTCACCACTGCCAAGAGAGGCTCCTGATGTCGCGCACATTTGTCTCTGATATGTGCTAGGTCTCTTTTTGTTTTCCTTCAAGTATCCAGAAACCATGAGTTGTTAACCCTTAGGCTTGGTATTATAGATATCGCAACCCTTCAGCCTTGATTCCATGATAAATACCGTAAATCTGGGAGAAATGTGGCTTTTCTACCTACCCCCCGGGCGTGAACCCAGACCACAAGTAGTTCGTCACTCGGTCGCCGCGAAGTCAGCTTTAACCAACTACGCTAACGAGCCGGGCATATGTGCTATGTAGATACCGATATTTTCGCCCTGGTGCATTCTATCTTTCAATTGCTCTATATATACTATTACATTTAAAAACCAAACTTACCTTTGTTTTATTCATTCTCAGGTGACCAACACCCCCTCCCCACCCACCTCCACCCCCAGAACAGGAACGGGGATCTCACCTGCCCCAGCCGGTGGCCAACACTGCTGTGAGAACGGGCGGCCAGTGATGACTGATCCCCATACCGGACAGACGGTGTGCTCCTGCCAGTACAGCTCCGCCCTGCTGTCCTCTTACTCCAGACTGCCCCTGGCCTCAAACATCTTTGGACCGGGTGGGTCGTACTCGGCGGGGTCGCAGCCCCCATACATGTCGCTGGGTACTGAAGGGTCGGCCTTCTACAGTCCTTTGGTAAGTGTGTGTGTGTGTGTGTGTGTGTGTGTGTGTGTGTGTATGGGTTAGGATATGTGTGTGTGTGTTAATATGTGTCGGCAATAGAGTGCATGCTTTTTCAGTGACTCAGTATTTTCGCCAGGATATGCTTGTGTGTTAGGAAACGAGCAAGCAGATAGAGTGACCGGTTCTGCACCACTTGGTGGTGAATTAATGTATGACAAGTTAAATGTTGTGAGGGCCCTTTAGGAACGAGTGAAGAGTGCAGAGGCACAGATAGATCATTACGGTCTGAGTAGAATGTCGCTGCTAAGAATAAACAGGGGTTATGGCAGACGCTCAACACTTAAGAAAAAGGCGAGACGGATATAAAATCAGACAGTTACTGTTAGTGTCGGAACTCTACACTCTTTGCTTGCTGCTGAAGATGGGGACGGGGCGCTTATAGGAGTGTCCTGAGTGCTATGATGTAGATTCATATTTCAACATTCAACATTCGGTAACTCAATCAGTATGCCCATGAAGATAAGAATGGGTTGGGTCCGAAGACAGTGCTTGGAGTCTTTGATGCGGTCGGGGCTGATGAGGGTCGATTATATTTTCTTGCCTTGGTATCCAGGTGTGCAAGGAAACGAGCAGGCTGACAGGTTTGCAGGTGAGACAGGCAAAACATGGAGCAGGTTTATATAATAAATGCTCTACGAGAAGTAAGACGTTTGTGAGAACCAAGTGATGACTGCGAATCTGCAACTATGACCAGACTGCAAGAACAACATGTTAAAAGCGCTGTGGAAGGGGAGGGGGAGGGCTGGGTGCGGGGGGGGGGGGTAGCCAGACAAGAACACTGTGTCAGAAGCCATAGAAGAATACAAAAACTGGCGATTTATTAATATCCTACCCCAAACAGGGGAAATCCACAGGTCCCGGGACAGTCTAATAATTCAGAGGGTGGTAAATAGGTTGCATGCATTCATGGGACCTAGGCTGCAGTCTTAGGTGGGACAAAAGTGGGTTGGGGTTAGGGCCAGTTATAGATGTTTTAGTGTCGTTAAAAGCATCAGAAAGCCGGGAAACCCAGTCTTACCTCTTTCTAAAATGTTGGACTGTCCTGTGACGTCATCTGGGTATGATATTAATAAAGAACCCAAAAACCACCACATAACTGGTGTCAACAGCCGCTACACGCTACACGCTGTGTGGTTTAAGAAGGAGGAGATCCGAGGACATATGGGCTGAATGATTCGATGTGCAATAAAGAAAATCTGTCGACTAACTAGTAAACTATGTGTGTGTCTGGAATTGTGCACGAACGCTTTCAGAATTTGTGACATTATCATGACTCGAATTACTCTCTAACGGTGCAGCCTGTCTTGCTTTGCCATCTCACACGATCACCAACATCACGGATCAGTTCAGTGTTTGTGTCTCACCCCAATCTTCTGACCAAGCCGTCTTAGTATTTCTTTCTGTTCCTTTCTCTTGCTCACTTGTCCATTAATCTAGCCAGTTGTAGCAGAGTTCTTGAGTCTACTCATCTCATCATCATCATCTCCCCAGATCACGATCCCTGGTTGCCTGGAACAGCTCTCTTGATGTTATCCCTCCATGCCATCGTTTCAGCCCATCCAGCTCTCTTGGTCTGCTTCTACCCCTTTTTCCACTGATTTTTCCAGTTGTCACGATGGTCTCCACTGTCTGTCTTTTCATTACGTTGCCAAAGATCAGTCTTCTTCTTCTTCTTTCGTTCGCCTGAAATAAGTTGTCTATATCAGCAGTTGTGTCTCTTGTATAAATTTCACTGTCGTTGTTAGTTCATTCAGTGGTCCATAGAGTTTACGTTCCACTGTTGTTCTTTCTGGCCAAAAGGTTTGCCTTAATGTGTCAAGTTCGGTGAAGTCCTGGCGTACATGCTCTGCTGTCTGGGGCACCTTTCCACAGGTGCACATGGCTGATACGCCTATCTTGAATTTTGTGTACACGTGGTTATGTAATCGGTTGTGCCCTATTCTGAGGCGGAGGATAATGACTTGTTCTGGTCTGTCCATAATAAAATAGTCGTCTTTTGCTAGGGCTGGTGGTTTCCTGATCGATTTATTGCTTGTGTGTGTGTGTGTGTGTGTGTGTGTGTGTGTGTGTGTGTGTGTGTGTATATGTGTGTGTGGTATGTGACTGGCTGCACTTTTTTCGCACCTTCTCCTGCCAGTTGATCAGCTTTCTCATTTCCAGGCACTCCACAATGTGATGGTATCCACTGCATTACGACTCTTCGCTGAAAACTAAGTTGTGTCAGCAGTGTTTGCAATTCTTGTAGTTTCCTAGACTGGAGTGCTTCAAGTACTGATTTAACATCTGTCAGCATTACCACATACTGTGAGCCAAGATTGGTATTTAGCAGTTTCTCTGTTGCTGTCTTGATAGCCTGATTTTCTGCATCATAGTTATGGCAGTACTTTCCGGTTGGTACGCTGGACTTACCCCCAGTACCATCGGGGAATTCTATGTACACTCCAGCACCACCATTTCTAACTGCACTTTCTGCGGACCCATCTTTATAGACGCTGAGCCATTGTTCTTTTGGGTATTCTTCGTCAATATAATTGTGGGTGACCATTCTGCGTTGTACACTATCTTGCTCTTTCTTGTCAAATATTTAATTCACATTTGTTTGGATTTGTGTTAGTCTTCTTCTCATAACATGTGCAAAACACAGCGACTATCTTTGTTTATTTTCTGTCATCAGTTTACGACTTACCTCTGTCTCGATAAGGACTATATAGTTTATGTCATCAGTTTACGACTTATCTCTGTCTCGATAAGGACTATCTAGTTTCTGTCATCAGTTTACGACTTACATCTGTCTCGATAAGGACTATCTAGTTTCTGTCATCAGTTTACGACTTACCTCTGTCTATTTTTTATAGTCCATTGCTCACATTATTTTTCTCACTGCAGTTGGCATATTATTATTGGCTTATTTTCGGCCGGTATTGTTCATATTATGTCTGAATTGTTAATATTCTGTCTGAATCGTGAACATTCTGTTTGAATCTTTTATATTTTGTCTGAATCGTTCAATTCTGTCCGAATCGTTCATATTCTATCTGAATCGTTCATATTATGTCTGAACCGTTTATATTCTGTCTGAATCGTTTATATTCTGTCTGAATCGTTCATATTCTGTTTTAATCGTTTATATTCTGTCTGAATCTTTAAATTATGTCTTAATCGTTCAAATGATGTCTGAATCGTCCACATTCTGTCTGAATAATTTAAATTCTATATGAACCTTTCGTATTCTGTATACATTTTTCAAATTTTGTCTCAAGCGTTCAAATGCTTTTTGAATCGATTTCATTTTACTGAACGGTTCGAATCCTGAATGAATAGGTCAAATTATGTCTGAATCGTTCAAACCATGTCTAAGTTGTTCGAATTATGTATGAATCGTTCGAATACTATATGAATTGTTTCAATTCTGTTTAAATCGTTCATTCTGTCCGAAACCTACAAATTATGTATAAATCGTTAAAATTATGCCCGAACCGCTCAAATCATCAAATTCTGCTGACTTGTTCCATACCGACTGGTTGGTCAGATTTAGCATGCCGTCATCAGATTTGGCTAGTCCGAGTATAAAAATCTGGTTGTGATTTACTTTTCTGTGGAACCCCATTCAAGATTAAGGGGCTTCCACGGCCAACTCTAGATATATATGCAGCCGAACGTGAGGGCCTTCTAACTGATGGAGGTTCCCTAGAGTTCAGACCGTCCACGTGGCCATACCTTTGATGAGCGTCCGTTAACAAGCTGGTGGATTTGATTACCCAGCGGGAGACTGGGTTGAAGAGAAACGGTGGCCGCGGTGTAATCAAAGGGGTGCCAGATAAGTCCAGTTGTTAACTTTTTACAGGTGATCATTAGGACACTCGTAAAGCTTGGTGTGTGTGTGTGTGTGTGTGTGTGTGTGTGTGTGTGTCGGGGGGGGTGGGGGCGGGGTAATTTTCGGTCTTTTTTTTTCTTTCTATTTTTCCTTTTTTCATTCAACCTTTTTTCTTTCCCTCCTTCCTTCTTCCTTTCTTTCTCTTGCTTCCTTCCTTGCTTGTTTCGTTCCGTTCTTCCTCCATCCCGTCCTTCCCTTCATATTTGTTTCTTTCTTTCATTACTTTTTTCTTGTTAGCTTGTTAGTTTTTTTTATCTTTCCTTCTTTCTTTCTACTCTTTCCTTCGTTGTTGCTTGCTTGATTATTTATTTGTTTCGATCTGTTCTCTTTGTTTATTTTTTTTTTTTGGGGGGGGGGGGGGGGGGGGGGTTATTCTTTCTTTCTTTGAAACATAACTTCGACATACCACTACTAAAAGACTACCAACTCCCGTGACAATCTAACAACACTCACATTTCGGTGTCTTGCGCTTTCTGTCTCTTTAAAAATAAAACTGCCTTCTTTGGGAACATTCACCAGAGATGTCCTAATCTCTCCCATGGTGCGACTCTCGTACCACTGTTAGAAAACCACGAGAACGTTTTTCCCTCTTAAATAAATCCTGTGCTGTGGAAATCCAAACCTGGTAGACGGGAGTCATTTAATGTTTAAACACATTCACTTAACTCAGCCATAAGCCTTGGCTTCTCTTGTAGCTTATTATGATTTTTGATATTAACGATGTTATTATTATTATTATTATTATTATTATTATTATTATTATTAAAATTATAATTATAATTATGGTTATTGTTATTTTTAACATTGCGGGAAGCATCAGAAGTTGCAGGATCCCCAAGGAAGAACCAAGAATAATGGTTGGCACAATGCCTGTACATGATTCCATAAAACATCAAAGAATCAATTGGTTTGGTCATCTCGTCAGAATGAAACGAGAATCAGAAAGCGGCTATAGCGTGCTACATGAGAACAGCAGGCTGCAAGGCAAGAGAGGAGACCAAGAAAGACATGGGTGAAGGTAGTTTATAAAAATGGACACTACAAAAACACCATAAGACGTGAACACAAGCTACAGTTCTAACATCAGACAGGGAACTACATCTAACTCACGTATGTGATGTTTTACGGCATGAGCCTTAGCGCAGAATTATTACTATTTGTAGGGGCCTGCGTGGTCTCGAGGCATTGTGTCCACTTCGAGTGCTTGAGGTTCCGGGTTCAATTCCCGGTAAGGGCTGGGATTATTTCACGTGGACTTGGACTTCTAGTAATTCCCGCTGGTCTTTGGGTAGTGAGAACGGACGCCTGTGTGTATTGTTGCGCACGTGAAAAATCCCTTGGCAGTTGGATATCCAGAAGAGTAGCCTAACGGCGCTGCCCGGGCAGAATTTTGAGTTTCCAAATCTAGCTAAAGTTTTTCAGGATCCTCGCCGGGGCTACAGAGCCTGTGCACTGTGCACTTCTTCGGACTCAGACTTGATTAGAAGAAAGTAGAGAACACTTACGTGCTACACCCCTGTGCCATGATGTCGATCCGTTGTTGACACCTCAAACCTCAAATTAATTTTTTGGGGTAATATTTCTCGTGTTCTGGAACCCCACGTGTGTGTGTGTGGGGGGGGGGGGAGGCTACTAACCGCTAACAAGCATGTCGTAGAAGGCGACGTATCAGGTTTGTGCAGAAATTGGATGTATCGGAGCAAAGGACGCACATATCGTTGCTTGGCTTTTTGTCTGGTGTCACGCAACAGTACGCAGTACTAGTACCTTTTTTTGCATCACTGTTTTTATTTTTTTTTTTTTTTTTCACAGTGACCGAAATAGCCACTTTCTGTTGACTATCGACATAGGTTTTAAAAAATAGAAATAGTCGTGATTACTATTATTATTATTATTTTATTTTTATTTTTATTTTATTGAATGCGTTAATTTAGTAAAACAGAAGGGCGCGATGACTCTTACCTTTAAGTGGCTGCATAAATTTTTTTATTGTTGTTATAATAATAAAAATAATAATAATAATAATAATAATAATAATAATAATAATAATAATAATAATAATAATAATAATGTTAACGCTGTTGTTACAATTAATCTATCAACCAAGCAGGATAAAAACATATATATTTCTCTGACCTTTCATGACTAAAATTTTAACAGGAGAGTTGGTCAAGATACATAATTATTTTCTTATGTCCTTGTTTAACGTCCTTTTCTATCTACCCGACAGGGCGCCAACGGCTGCAACATCAGAGACGGCAGCGAGGCCTGGCGCTCGCTGACCCAACCCTCCCTGTACGATACGACACCCATGGGATTCTACCCCTACGGACCGAGGTAAGTTGTCTGTTTTAACTTGACTGGTCGACGCTTCAGTCTTTTTCACGTTCACCGGTTGTAGCCTCTGACCGAGTTTTGTTTGTTCGTCCACTTCTCGAAATGAATGTCATGGTTTTGTCGTTTCACTGATACCAGGTTGTAACCCAGTGTAGTGATTTTGTCGTCTCGGTGATACCATGTTGTAGCCCAGTATCGTAGTTTTGTCGCCTCACTGATACCAGGTTGTAGCCCAGTGTCGTGGTTTCGTCGTCTTACTGATACCTGTTTGTAGCCCAGTGTCGTGGTTTTGTCGTCTCACTGATACCAGGTTGTAGCCCAGTGTCGGGGTTTTGTCGCCTCACTGATACCAGGTTGTAACCCAGTGTCGTGGTTTTGTCGCCTTACTGATACCAGGTTATAATCCAGTGTCGTGGTTTTCTAGTCTGACTGATACCAGGTTATAACCCAGTGGCTTGATTTTTCTGTATTTGTCTTGCGATTCTAGGGTGGCTTGGGTGATGAATCAACAGTTGGCAAATAAAACAGCCAGATCTGTAAAACGAGTGTGCACGCAACACTAAATTTCTGGAACAATATCAAAGTCTAGAAGTTGATGAACAACTAGAACTTTCCAACATAATTTTTAACCAGTGAATGCGAAGACGAAGAAGGAGACTGCTCAGTGACTGACTGATTGACTGTCTGATTGACTGACTGGATCACTCACCCACACACCCACTCATCCACTTAATCCATCACTCACTGACTGACTGACTTACTCACTCATAACTAACTCACTCATTCATCCACTGGCTCACTTTCCCACTTTCAAACATTTAATGAAAGCCAGACGAAAAATACTAACTAATGCCAATAACCCCTCCATGTTCTGTGACTTGTACAGCTATGGCGGCTTGGACCTTAACGCCCGACGAAAGAACGCCACCAGAGAGAGCACCAACACGCTGAAGGCTTGGCTCCAGGAGCACATCAAGAACCCATACCCCACCAAAGGGGAGAAGATCATGCTGGCGATCATTACCAAGATGACCTTACACAGGTACTTACTACTAGCAGCATCTTTCTTCGTTCTTTAGCCACTATTGTGATTCACGCAAGTAGCTATCAACAGGTTTTGTCCAGAATTATGCAGACAAAAGGGCATGGTTGTCAACCTGTGGTTACCATAATGAAACAGGCGGTATTTTGTTAATTATGTCGATTTTGTGTTTCAATTTCAAGGATTTAGTTATTTATTCTTATCAATAGTTACTGTAGTATGCACCTGATAAGACTTAGCGAAACATGCGAGGCAATTAATTGTGCAATCTGTTGTTTGTGTCTTCTTTTTTCAAGCTTCTTTCTTTTGTCTGTATTCTGCTTTGTGCCGCTTGGCATCACAGTGAACAGATAGATGATCGGTATCCGAGCTAGGGCGCGCTCTGTTACCCGGTATATACTCTGTTGTGAAGGCTCAAGGTGTCAGTAACTTGTTCAACCTGTGTTCCTCTTTGACGTCACCTACCTCATGGTGTTTCTACTCTCACGTTGTACATCTTCATTTCTAGCAACATTCATCCTCATTAAATAGCCAATCTATTTCAGTGTTTCTTTGTTAATAAATGTAATTATAGTTGCTGTTCCATAGTTCTTGTAATCGCCAGTATATATACTGCAACATGTGCAGCTGCAGAGGGCGGCTCACTTTGTGGCGCGTCAAAACACTAATGTGACAAAATTTAAACCAATTAGGTAATTCAAAGTCGATATCTTTTAGTTTTTTTATTAACTTTGAAAGGTTAGTCGAGATTAATTGTAAACACTTCGTCACAATTTTAAGCTGAAGTAATTATAGCAAGGCGTTCCGGTAGATCGGTGTACAATTAGATATATGTACCAGCAAATAAATGTATAAGCCTGTTCGCGGAGAGAGACAGATTGGTAGACAACGCTTAAGCCACACACACACACACACACACACACACACACACACATACTTATTTTTTTTTCTAATGGTACGCATTGGTACGCAGTACCAGCCGCTTCTTCAAGCATCAGCTGTTAGTGCTGCTATAATAGACATTGTATGGTGACTACCGGCACTAATTTAGACATTGTATGGTGACTACCGGCACTAATTTAGACATTGTATGGTGACTACCGGCACTAATTTAGACATTGTATGGTGACTACCGGCACTAATTTAGACATTGTATGGTGACTACCGGCACTAATTTAGACACTTTGTAGTGAGTACCGGCACATATTGTCTAAACAAACAAAAAACTAATTCTGTATATATATATATATATGTGTGTGTATGTGTGTGTGTATGTGTGTGTGAGAGAGAGAGAGAGAGAGAGAGAGAGAGAGAGAGAGAGAGAGAGAGAGAGAGAGAGAAATGAGCCTACAGGTACAAGCACTCCGACACACATAGAAATATTATTTAAAAAACGCTCACATGCCTCTTACGGGTAATTATACACGAATAACAGGAAATATCATGGGAAGTCGAGGTTGCCTGTACGACATCGACCGCATCAGCCATCGCGTGGCGGTTGGTCTCACAAAACACGAATTGCACTGTGCAGTAACTGTATTTCAGTTTGGGGGAGGATGGCCCCTAATAGCGTGTCCGTGATATACGGCCGAAGAATGACAAGTCTACTAATTTAGAAGTCGAAAGATTAAATAATACTGTACATTGTTTCCACTCACTTGTTTATTTTAGAAGTCAAAAGATTAAATATGAGTATTCATTGTTTCCACTCACTTGCCTATTTTAGACGTCACAAGATTAATTCTGGTAGTAAAGTATCTCAAATAGCTTACTTTAAGAAGCCAAAATTGTAATTATTATTCAAAATATTAGTAAAATGCAGTCGACTGCACAGTCCGTGGCGACAGCACTAGCCATGCGGCCCTAAATCCGCGTGCTCACGACCCCCTGTCTGCACCGCCCTGAAAAGTGATAAATAGAAAGAAGTTTGTCGAAGTCAGAAAATTTAAAAAAAGTGCATTGTGTTTCTTATCCTATTTTATTTTGGAAGTTATCACATTAGATATGGCTACAGAGTAGCAAGCATAAATATCTCATTATTTTAGAAGTCACAAGGGTATATATAGCCATAAAGTATCTAGAAGATATACTCTTTTCTATTTAAAAGCAGAAAGATTATTTAAAAAACAAAAAACTTTCAAATGTGTTCATTAGTTTACTCTAGAACTTGAAGTAAAATATGAAGCACTACTATAAATTGCGTCGCGTATTTAATTAATTAATAATTTTTTTTTTTAAATAATGCCATTAAGATGTCGTATAGTTCCACATTAGTGTAGAATTTTACAGATTTAGCCTACAGGTACCTGGACGGTGCAACGGAGTTCGTGCACTGCACTGAGGTACTTCAAACTTAGGCTTGAGTTAGAAGTACAGCGAAATACTAACAGGTTACAGCCGTGTTTCATGATGTTGATGTATCGACTAAGTTAAACTAACGATTTAGCCTACAGTGTGTCGTCAATATATACTTTAGAACATCATTTTAAAGTTTAATTAGGTCTAAAAAAGAGTTTTTTAAATATCTACTCCAGAAAATAATTTTGATGATGAAACAATGTGATATTATCATCATTATCTACTTTAGAAGTGTAAAGATGAATAAATGGCTACAAAGTGTCTTGAATATCTACTTTACAATACAAGCTTGAAGATAAAGTAAGGTTAAAAAGTGTCTTGAATATCTACTTTACAATACAAGCTTGAAGATAAAGTAAGGTTAAAAAGTGTCTTGAATATCTACTTTAAATGTTTGGTTTTAGTATCCAGAAGCCATGAGTTGTTAACCCTTAGGCTCGGTATTATGGATATCGCAAGCTTTCGGCCTTGATTCCATTGTAAATACCGTAAATCTGGGAGAAAATGTGGCTTTTCTGCCTACCCCCGGTAGTGAACCCAGACCACAAGGAGTTCGTTATCCGCTCACCGCGCAATCCGGTTTAGCCAACTACGTTAGATCTGGTAATCTGGTAATCTGGTAATCCTAGTTTCAGCATCATAGCAAACGGGTCACCCCATTGTTGCTCCGCTCCTGTGCCAACGAAAAACACTCGTAGCTCACAGTGTCACACCATGCACTCAACTCAGAAGCTGGTTGACGAAACTATATCCTTCCAGTCTACAAATGGAGCAAAAATGCAACGGCCACCGCCTCCTTGGCAGGAACTGCCACGGCTTAAAAAAAAAAAAAAAAAGTGGTCGTGCCTAGTGTCCACTGTGACTTGAAGCATTATGTGAGGGGTTAACAAATGGTCACCCCAGCAGTACCCTCACTATTAGCTGGGAAAGGGACTTAGGACATTACATCCACCAGCAGGCGTCGCCCCTACAACGACCTGACTATCAGGAGTGAACGACTCTACGCGGATGATGTCTAGAGGCTGTCTGATTCAGCAGAAGGTCAACCCCAGTAGCCGCACCAAATCATGCGGTATATACAATAAGTAAAGTGGTACCTTGGGTCATGTACCTAATTTGTTCCATGACTCCATTTGCGAGAAATCTGTGTTTCCCATTGAAATGAATGCAAATTGGCAAGAATGATGAAAAAGAAAAAGAGGAAAGCACGAAGATAAAAAATAGATGGGACGAGACAAAAACATTTAACTTATCCGTGATTTTTGTGATCGTGTGAGATGGCGACGTATTACAGCCTTTGCTAGCCAGCGAGCCACGTGATGATGATGATATCTATTCTACTAAATATATCATCGACACACAACAATC